GCAAGGGAAAACGGATTACAACAAAACAACCGAATCTGGACCCCATCCACTTTTCTGAAGCTTTCGCGAAAAAATGATGAAAATGTAGCTGCGGCCTAGGCGCGGCGGGGGGGCCGTGCACCAGGGGCCCCAACAATAATTATTCTTTAGAATTAATAATGTTCAACATCAACAACAATGCGTGATGAAACGGGCGAGGGCGAGGAGGATTATAAGATGGAGGAGGAGGAGGAGGAAGAAGAGGAGGAGGAGGAGGATAAGGAAAACAACGGGGCGATGGAAACGTGACGCGGGATTGGCGGGGCGACGCACCCACTAAAGACGTTGCCGCCCATCCAGCCCTTTCGGGCTTCAATTTCTTTGTTTCTCCGATCGCTGCGTCGGCTCTCGCCGACGCGCAAGCCACCGTCAATTCCCAGGAGATCTCTTATGGTTTGCCTTGGGTGCGCGCATCCCGACATGCCAGCGCTACGGTGCGGACGGGTTTGGCGGAGAGAATGAACGAAATCGCTTGCTATCGTCGCGCAACCGTGGCAACATGTGTGCATCTACGCCCAAAGGTCTGCTCATTGTGTTGGTTGTCGTGGCAATGCTGTGCTATATATGCTGCGCTATGCTGTATCAAATGATATGCTCACCTACTATACGATTTCAAACAATGGTAAATGAACTATGCGCGACGTGCGCCTGTGTATACCATGTACCAGCGCAGGAAAACAAAAAAAAACAATAAGTTAGGCGCGCGATATGAGGATAGGTTTTTAGAGAACAGAAAATCTCTTTAGCGAAATGTCGCGGGCGAAGATTGAAATGTCGCGGACGAACATCGAAATGTCGCGGACGAACATCGAAATGTCGCGGACAACATGCGAAATGTCGCGGCAAACTGAAATGTCGCGGCCCCTTTTGAAACGGCGCGGATACCCTGTGGGTGGGGCACCCGCTGGGAACTGCTTGGCGAGTGCCTCGAGCCCCGACTTCAAGAGGCGACCCGGCTTGCGCCTCGCGTAGTCGATGAAGTGGTCGTGCTTCACTCGGCCCTCGCGGCGATCCCCAAGTACATCGTCGCCCGACTCCCTGCTCGCACCCGACTCGTCGTCGTCGCGCGGCGGGCTCCCGTTGCGGCCACGACCACCACCGAGCCTCGCGAGCAGCTCGCGCTCGAAGCTCGAGCGCCCGTGGCTCGAGCGCCCTCGGCCTGGGCCCCCGGCCTTCTCGATGGCCCGCGAGGCGAGCACCTCCTGCGCTGGCCTGTGGGCACTGCTGTGGCGGCGGCCCTGCGCAGCCACCGCGCGTTCCTGCAGCAGCTCCTGGGCCCGCTCCCCCGCGACGTCGGTCCCTTCCAGCTGGCGCATGGCCTCGTCGAGAGCATCGATGCCGCCACCCGCGCTGCCACGGCCGCGACTCCTCGACCTCCGAGCCGGCGCCTCGCGCCGTGCGGGCGGCGCGCGGCCGCGGGGCTCGCCGCGCGCTTCTGCCCCCGCGCGCGCGCCAGCCCGCCCACCCTCGCGCGGCTGGCCAGCAACGCCCGGCCTCCCGCCAGCGAGGGGGGCGCGCGCCTTCCGAGGGGCAGGGGCCAAGGCGTCGCCACGGGCCCCCTCGCCGGGAGCCGGGCGCCGCCGCGGCTCTGGCAGAGGGAGCGCGGCCCGAGGCGGCCCACGCCGAGGCGGCGAGCGCGGGCGGGCCCTCCTCGAAGGCACGCCAGGCTCCCGCGACCTCCTCGGGCCCTGGCTCGAGGTGCTCGCCGTCGTCCTCGCCCTCATCGCCCATGCCCTCGGGCTCGGGCACAGCAGCCTCCTCGCCTCGATCGCCTTCTGCACCTCCATCGGCGTGCTGAGCCATCGCGATGCGAGCCCGCTCGATGGCCCCGTCGCTGCCCCACTGCATGCAGAGCGCGCTCGCCTCGTCCTCGGTCACCTCGCGCACCAAGTTGACGTGCTCGAGCGTGTAGCCGTCCTGTCCGACAACGCGGCACTCCCGCGCAGGCACGGCGCAGATGTGCAGCAGCGTGTCGGCCCCCCGCGCACCCGCCTCGCCGTCCGCCGAGGCGTGCCACTCGAAGTGCGCGTCCGACGCGGCGATATGCTGAAATTCCACCAGCACGCCGCCGCCCGTGGGCCGCCAGGCGCGCTCGACGCAGACGAGCTCGGACCCCTGGCTGGCCCATGAGTCGTCGAGCACGCCCACCTGCAGCAGCGTGCCTGGCCGCAGCGCCATCCGCTCCAGGGCGTCGGAGTCGAGCTCCGAGTTGATCCAGAGCCCGGCCATCTCAGGCCCCGCCGCCGCCAGCCACCATGGCGCACAGGCTGCCCCTCCACAGGAGAGCCCGCGGCGGCGGCGGGCGGCCGCGGCCCGCTGCGCAGCCCACTGGGCGCGCTGGCGAACACCAGCGCGCCCTCTGAGCCAAGCAAACTACGGACGACCCCCTTGGGGTCGGCTGCGCCGAAAGTTTCACGGGAGCTTCTCAGCATAAGCTACTCGGGGAGATGCCATATAATTTGAGGGAGTTTCTGTGGAACTCACGTCATCCTCACCCCCGGCGCGAAGAGCACGAGTCCAGAGCGGCCTCCGGCACCGTTTCCGGACAGATCCGGTGGATCCGCTGGATCCGCTGGATCCGGTGACGAATCCCAAACCGGCGCCCTCGTTTGAGACATCCTCACAAAACCGGCCCCGGGGGAGGTGCCCAGAGGAGCCCAGAGCGGCCTCCGGCACTGTTTCCGGACAGATCCGGTGGATCCGCTGGATCCGGTGACGAATCCCAAACCGGCGCCCTCGCTTGAGACATCCTCACAAAACCGGCCCCGGGGGAGGTGCCCAGAGGAGCCCAGAGCGGCCTCCGGCACCGTTTCCGGACAGATCCGGTGGATCCGCTGGATCCGCTGGATCAGGTGACGAATCCCAAACCGGCGCCCTCGCTTGAGACATCCTCACAAAACCGGCCCCGGGGGAGGTGCCCAGAGGAGCCCAGAGCGGCCTCCGGCACCGTTTCCGGACAGATCCGGTGGATCCGCTGGATCCGCTGGATCCGGTGACGAATCCCAAACCGGCGCCCTCGCTTGAGACATCCTCACAAAACCGGCCCCGGGGGAGGTGCCCAGAGGAGCCCAGAGCGGCCTCCGGCACCGTTTCCGGACAGATCCGGTGGATCCGCTGGATCCGCTGGATCCGGTGACGAATCCAAACCGGCGCCCTCGCTTGAGACATCCTCACAAAACCGGCCCCGGGGGAGGTGCCCAGAGGAGCCCAGAGCGGCCTCCGGCACCGTTTCCGGACAGATCCGGTGGATCCGCTGGATCCGCTGGATCCGGTGACGAATCCCAAACCGGCGCCCTCGCTTGAGACATCCTCACAAAACCGGCCCCGGGGGAGGTGCCCAGAGGAGCCCAGAGCGGCCTCCGGCACCGTTTCCGGACAGATCCGCTGGATCCGCTGGATCCGCTGGATCCGGTGACGAATCCCAAACCGGCGCCCTCGCTTGAGACATCCTCACAAAACCGGCCCCGGGGGAGGTGCCCAGAGGAGCCCAGAGCGGCCTCCGGCACCGTTTACGGACAGATCCGCTGGATCCGCTGGATCCGCTGGATCCGGTGACGAATCCCAAACCGGCGCCCTCGCTTGAGACATCCTCACAAAACCGGCCCCGGGGGAGGTGCCCAGAGGAGCCCAGAGCGGCCTCCGGCACCGTTTCCGGACAGATCCGCTGGATCCGGTGACGACGAATCCCAAACCGGCGCCCTCGCTTGAGACATCCTCACAAAACCGGCCCCGGGGGAGGTGCCCAGAGGAGCCCAGAGCGGCCTCCGGCACCGTTTCCGGACAGATCCGGACAGATCCGGTGGATCCGCGCCCCGGGGGAGGTGCCCAGAGGAGGAATGAGGAGGAGGAGGAGGAGGAGGAGGAGGAGGAGGAGGAGGAGGAGGAGAAGATGATGGAGCTGCGGGGTGGAGGAGGACAGACGGAGGCAAGAGAAGGATGGAGGAGGAGGAGGAGGAGGAGGAGGAGGAGGAGGAGGAGGAGGAGGAGGAGGAGGAACCTCATCACCCTCGCCAACAAGCGCACGCACCTTCTTCTATATACAGAAACTCCCGATCAACCGCAGAGCGGCCGGCTAGTCAATATACAAACGCACACACACACACAAAAGAGAGAGAGAGAGAGAGAAACAAAAAAAACAATGAGTTGTGCCCCTTCGGGACTTCTTGGGAGGCCTCTTGGAACCTCTTCGGCCCCCTGGGGAGCTTCCTGCTGGCCTCTTGGATCCTATTGGGGGCCTCTGGGGGTTTCCTCAGAGCCTCTCCGGGTGGAAGACTCGGATTTTCGGTTCGTTTTCACCCTCTTGGGCCCCTCTTGGGGCCATCTTGGTGCCCTCTCGGGCCGCCTTGGGCGCCTCAGGCACCGTCTTGGGGCCCTCGTCGGCCGCCTTGGGGCCCTGTTGGAGACCTCTTCGGCTATCTTGGAGCGGTCTTGGAGGCCTCTTGGGCCGTCTTGGAGCGTCGGGATGCCCAAAGGCTGAAACCTCGAAAATCAATCAAAAACCGCTGGCAAGACAATGATTTGTGCCTCTTGGGGCCTTCGTGGGAGGCCTCTGGGACCTCTTCGGCCCCCTGGGGAGCTGTTTGGGACCTCTTGGGGCCTGCTGAGGGCTTCTCGGGGCCTCCTGAGAGAATCTCGGGGTGGAAGGCTCTGATTTTCGGTTCGTGTTACTACCCCTCTTGGCCCCCTCTCGGGGCCGTCTTGGGGCCCTCTCGGGCCGTCTTGGGCACTTCTGGCGCCGTTTTGGGGCCCTCTTGGGCTGTCGCGTGGCCGTCTTCGAGGCCTCTGGGGCTGTCTTGGAGCGGACATTGGGGCCTCTTGGGCCGTCTCGGAGCGTCGGGAAAACGAAAAAGCGAGAACTCGACACTCCGAGAAAAAAACAATGGATAATCAATGATGTTTGCCTCCTGGGGCTCCTCGGGAGGCATCTTGCATGCCCGCGCTCCTTGTCCGCGCAACGTCACAGGGGGAACCCGGGGCTCGACGCGGCCCCCGGTGCCTCCCAGGCGCGCTCGCGCGCCCGCGGTGGTGCCTCGCCCAGAGGCGCCCGCCATGGCGCCCCAGCGGCCCATCCTCACGTGCGTGCCGGCGGCCGCGGTGGTGGCCCTGTGCCGCAGGGGCGACGGCTTCGTGGGCTCGCCCACGCCCGCCTGCCAGCGCGGCGAGCGCGTGGCCGCGCGCGTGAGCGCGGAGTACCTGGAGCGCTACGGGCCGAAGGGCGCGGATGCGGCGTTCGACGCCTCGGCCGCCATTGGTCCGGGCCCCACCGTCACCTACAAGAAGCGCCCCTTCGGCATCCTGCGCTACCAGCCGGGCAACGGCATGAAGGGCGCGATGGCCATGCATGAGGTGATGCCGGTGTCCCGGTGCACTGCAGGGCCCTCAGGGCCAGGCGTTCTCCGCCGGCGTGTCGGGCGGCATGGTGGTGAAGTCCATCGTCGGCGCGGAGGTGTTGACGGAAGACTTCGGCAAGATCATGGGCCGGCCCGACGACGAGGTGGCCGACCCGCGCTTCTCGAAGTCCACCGCGCTCGCCCTGGAGAAGTTGGGGAGGAAGACGGACACCGTTGAAACCGCCCATCGAGGTGGTCTACGCGACCGTGCCGGGCTACGTGTACGCGGGCGCCGAGATGAAGGCGGACGGCCAGGAGCACGAGCTCCGGGAGTGCGCCTACGTCCCATCGGCAACTTTTTGGGGGATGCAGCCAGTGATGGGGCGCTGGCTGCCGCGAATGTCCATGATGACTATATGTTCCAGTTTGGCTATCCTCCTCCCCCTCCTAAATCTCCCCCCGAATGTACCCTTTTTCCCGCGGCGGGCTGGCCTCCTAGAGTTCAGATTCTCCCCTTTCTCCCTTTTCCCTGTTGCTGCCTTGCTTGCGACTGCGCTTGCTGCTTCGTCGGGGCCGCCCGCTCGTCCTCCCTCGCCCGCAGGTCGACTGGCCCGCCGCTGCTCCTGGCTGGCACCGCGGCTACCGCTGCCGCGACCAGCGACGCCAGCACTTCCACGACCGCGGCTACGACGGCAACGTCCCATCCCACGACCAGGCCCTCCCCAACTTGCACGCAAACTACCACGCACTCCACTGCGGCTACGACCAGGGCCACGACCGCTGCCACGACCATGACAACGACCAGCGACGCCTGCACTGCCACGTCGACTACCACGTCCGCGGCTACGACGCTTACGACCCCTCCCGCGACAATGAGTACTCCCACTGCCACGCCAACTACCACAACCTCGACCACAACCACGACCTGGGCCACGACCACTACCGCGACCATGTCCACGACAGGCGACGCCTGCACTACCACGCCGGCTACCACGACCGCGGCTACGACGCTCATGATCCATCCCACGACCATGTCTACTCCCACTGCCACGCTAACTACCACGACCTCCACTACGACCACGACCAGGGCCACGGCCGCGAGCATTCCTACGGCGACGAGGGACGCGATCGCGGCCACCACCACGGCCACGTCCAGCGACGCCAGCAGTACCGCGTCAACTACCACGACTGCGTCGACGACGGCTACGGCTCCTCCCACGACCACGACCACGCCTGCTCCCACGCCAACTACCACGACCTCCACTACGACCACGACCGGGGCCACGACCGCTACCACGGCGACATCGACCACCACCGACGACGGCTTCGCCGGCATCGGCTCCGACGGCGGCTTCGGCACCACCTCCGACGGCGGCCCCCGCGCCGACGACTCCGACACCAGCTCCAGCCGCGACCCCGGGGCTGGTTCCGGCGGAGATGCCGATTGGCTCGGCGCTGCTCACGACGTCTGCGGCGTTGGCTCCGAAAGCAATTCCGACGGCAGCATCGACGAGGCTTTTGACGCCTACCTCGACAGCGGCACCAGCGCCGGCTCCGACAACGACACCGTCGGCGTCTCCGACGCCGGCTCCGACAGCAGCCCCAGGGCCGTACAGGTCGACGCTCCCGACGCCAGCTCCGAGGGCGACACCGGCGACATCTTCGGAGGATACTTTGACGCCAGTTCCGAGGGCGACCCCGGAGCCAGCTCGAGGGGCGACACCAGCGCCTACGCCGGCATGAACGCCAGCGCCGACACCAGCACCAGCGCCAGCATCGACGCCAGCGCCAACGCCCGCGCCTACGCCGACACCAACGCCAGAGCCTGCGCCACCGTCGACGACACCACCGACGACAACGCCAACGCCCGCGCCTACGCCGGCATGAACGCCAGCGGCAGCGCCAGCATCGACGCCAGCGCCAACGCTCGCGCCTACGCTGGCACCAACGCCAGAGCCTACGCCACCGTCGAGAACAGCACCGACGACTGCACGCGCCTACGCTTGCATGAATGCCAGCGCCTACACCAGCACCAGCGCCAGCATCGACGCCAGCGCCAACGCCCGCGCCTATGTCGGCACAAACGCCAGAGCCTACGCCACCGTCGACAACAGCACCGACGACAGCACCAACGCCCGCGCCCACGCTGGCATGAATGCCAGCGCCTACACCAGCACCAGCGCCAGCATCGACGCCAGCGCCAACGCCTGCGCCTATGCCGGCACAAACGCCAGAGCCTACGCCACCATCGACGACAGCACCGACGACAGCACCAACGCCCGCGCCTACGCTGGCATGAGTGCCAGCGCCTACACCAGCACCAGCGCCAGCATCGACGCCAGCGCCAGCGCCCGCGCCTATGCCGGCACAAACGCCAGAGCCCACGCCACCGTCGACGACAGCACCGACGGCAGCACCAACGCCGGCGCCTACGCCGGCATGAACGCCAGCGCCTACGCCACCAGCAGCGCCAGCATCGACGCCAGCACCAACGCCCGCGCCAACGCCGGCACCAACGCCAGAGCCTACGCCACCATCGACGACAGCACCGACGACAGCACCAACGCCGGTGCCTCGGTCGGCATGAACGCCAGTGCCTGCACCAGCACCAGCGCCAGCATCGACGCCAGCGCCAACGCCCGCGCCTACGACAGTACCAACGCCAGAGCCTACGCCACTGTCCACGACAGCACCGGCACGAGCACGACTACGACGACGAGTCCGAGCACGAACCAATGCAAACAGCACTACCAGCATCACCACGGGCATAGCCAGTGCAATCAGCACGACCACACACAGACGACCAGCACCAGCGACACGGGCAACCAGCACGACCACCTGTGCAACCAGCATGCCTACGACTGCCACGAGCACGAACACTACAGCGGCAACCACCGCCGATGCGGCGATTCCTACCACCAGCACCGGCTCGGCTCCCACGACTGCGAGGACCAGCTCCTGGGCGCTACAGAGCCCCCACGAGGCCACTACACTAGTTCAGCCGAGCTTTACTTTCACCAGCACCTCCGCTCTTGCGCCGCATGCGCGTCGGGAGCGGCATGCACTTCTGCGTGCCCATGTGGATTCCCATCTCCCGACTCTCAATGGCCAGCGCGCTGCCTTTCGCATGGGGCCTCACTCGCTCTCGGTGGCGTGCACAGTATCCTCCAACGAGCCCCCGCGCTCCTCGCAGCTCTCCCAATCGTGGCTCCTTCGGTCATGTTATGGGCTGTGACGGGGCAGGTCCTGAGCTCCACGTTCGGGGCGGCGCTTCCCGTCCCCGTGCACCCGGCGTTGCTCCTCGCCTCCGCCTGCGTGTCCCCAGCTTCTCTCGAGGTCGTCGTCTATGGGGCCATGGTGCACGGCGGACCCGCGCAGCGGGGCTTGGCAGCGATCTGTGCGACGGCTCTCGCTCACGACTTCCACGTCCGACGCCCCCTGTGCGAGGCTTTGACGCTGGCTTCCACGGCGGCCCTCAGCCCAGCGTGGTTCTGCCCAACGAGCCCCGCTGCTTGGGCCGGCCAGGTGGTCCTCCTCGTTCGGGCGGTCACCACGCCTGCTTTCCCCGCTTCGGATGGCATTTGCGCCACGTGCCAATGGGAGACTAATCGACGCACGTGCCGGCGGGGCGGTTCCCGCAGCCCTCAGCGTCCGAGCGCCGCGGCGGCTCCCTCTGCCTCTGCGGGCCCAGCGAGGCAGGAGGTCCACGTGAGCAACACGTTTGTCGAGGCGGGGCCAGCGGTTCGCTCCCCTGGGCGACGCCTCCGGCGCAACCGGACTGATGGGGATGAGCCGCTCCTGGTCGTGGGACTCGGCGGGTTGATTCTCGACCCTGCCAGGGACACGCATGTGGACGCGGGGGTTCCTTTGGAGCAGCGCCGGGCCGAGGCTCTCAACCGCCCCCCGGCCAGCGCTCCTGGGGAGGGCGCCCCGCCGCCCGGGGCTCCGCAGGCAGCGCCGCCAGCCGGGCAAGAGATACCTGCCCCCCCTCCCCCGGCGCCCGATCCTGCCCACCAGCGCAGGGTTCGTGCCCGCGTCCGGGTGCACTACCCCGTCCCTGGGCGCCCGCGCGGCGACGCCGCGCCCTCCGCCGGCTGGGAGGGCCACCAAAGCATGCGCCCGCACCTGAACGAGCACGCCGCCGGGCGGCTCCCTGGGCTGCCACCAGTCCCGCCCGAGTACCTGCAAGAGCACCGGTTGGAGCAATGCTCGGTCTGCCAACGGTTCTTGTCGACGCGCTTCGGCGGCATCTGCCCGCGTTGCCGCCCTGCCGCGCGCGCGGCCGCAGCCGCGGCAGCCGCCGCTCCCGCCGCTGGCGGCCAACCGCGCAGCGAGCCCGCGGGTCCCCCTCCCTCCGGGAAGCTTTCTCCAAGCGCTCCACCACCAAGCGCTGCGTCCCGAAGGGCGCCCGGGACCTCTGGGCACGGTGCTTAGTGCAGACGGTGGCCCAGACCGTGCACAACAAATCCGAGGCTGCGTGGACAGAGCTTGCGATGCTCCCGACATGCGTCCTGCGCCCCCACGCCCGTGGCGGCCGAGGCAGCAGGGCGGCCGGCGAAGCGCAGACCAAGGCGCTGCGCCGGCGCTGGCGGGACGGGGAGCGGGCCTCCCTGTGGGCCGAGGCAGTCGAGGCTCGCGCTGCCAAGCACGCCTCGCAAGCCTCCCAGCGAGCGGAGAGGTGCGTGCAGCTCGCCGCAGACGCCCAGTACTCCAAGAGCTGCCCGGCTCTGACCAGCGAGCCGCCCGTGGAGGTCACCCCCGACGTCGTCGAACTGATGAGCCGGAAGCACCCGCGCAGCCGCCAAGCTGTGGATCCCGCCAGCCTTCCGGCTGTCCACGCGGCTGCTGCCCTGCAGATGGACGGGGGCGCGGTCCGTAGGGAGGCGCGGGCCTTCCCCCGGGGCTCGGCCGCCAGGCCAACGGGCCTCCGACCCCAACACCTCAAAGACGCACAGCTCAACGCGGCCCACAGGAACGAGGTCACCGACCAGCTCGGGAACCTTGTCAACCTCTGCGCCAGGGGGCAGGCCCCGCCGACCGTGTCCGAGTACTTCGCGGGCGCCTCTCTCGTGGCCCTGCCGAAGAAGGGCGGAGGCCTGCGCCCTGTTGCCGTCGGGGAGGTGCTCCGGCGCCTCGTCGGCAAGTGCCTCTGCCACGAGGTTGCCGACGCCGCGCGCGACCGACTGGCTCCCCTCCAGATCGGCGTCGCGGTCCCTGGCGGCACCGAGGCGGCGGTGCACGTCGCGCGCCAGTGGTGGACCCGCCACCTCGGGGACCGGGGAAAGGTGTTTGTGAAGCTGGACTTGTCTAACGCCTTCAACACCCAGGCTCTGCTCCGCGCGGTCCACGAAGAGTTTCCCGGGCTGGCACCCTGGGCCGACTGGTGCTACTCCCGCCCGTCAACTCTCTTCCTGGGCAAACTGAGAGTCCGCTCCGAGTGCGGGGTGCAGCAGGGCGACCCCCTGGGGCCCCTACTGTTCTCCCTAGCACTACAGCGCGCCGCCGAGGCCGCCTCTCGCGCGCCGCGCCACAGCGCCGACGGCGCCGTCGACCTGAGTTTCTTCCACTTGGACGACGGCTGCCTCGCGGGCGACGCGCCGGCCGTCGCGCGCCTCCTCCACTTGCTCGTGGCCAGCCTTGCCGCGGTGGGCCTCCAGCTGAGCACCGGCCAGGGCAAGTGTGAGGTGGCCCCCACTGGCGGAGACGCCTCCGACGTGTCTCTGGACGGCTTCCCGCCGGGCTTCCGCCTCCGCACCGATCGCAGCTTCGAGCTGCTCGGCGCGCCAGTGGGATACGCGGACTTCTGCGCGGAGCACGCCAAGCAGCGGGTCGCGAGCGCCACCGACTTGCTGGAAGCTCTGGGGGAGATCGAAAACGCGCAGGTCGCGCTGCACCTCCTGCGCCAGTGCGCCTCCTTCTGCAAGCTGGGCTACTCCGCGCGCGTGGTGCCGCCCACCGCGCGCGCCGCCTCCCTGCTGGCCATGGACGACGCTGTCCGGGCCTGCCTTGAGCAACTGAGCGGCTGCTCGCCCTCCGACGCTTCTTGGCAGCAGGCTCAGCTAAAGCTCAGGAAGGGAGGACTTGGCCTGCGCTCTGCCGCGAAGCACGCCGCCGCCGCCTACATCGCTTCCAGAGCGAAGAGCACCGACCTCTGTCGGCAGCTCTACCCCGGCTACTCCAACAACCCCGACCGCGACGGAGGTAGCCTGGCGGCTGCGGTGCAGGCCCACAACGCAGTCGTGCGGGACGCCGACCGGGTGGTGTTCGACCACGCGCAGCACGGCAACCAGAAGGCCCTCTCCGACGCGGTGGACAGCGCCTCGCTCGACGGACTTCTGGCGGGCTCCACCCTGGCCGGCAAGGCGCACCTCTCTCTGGTGCAAGCCCCAGGCGCGGCCGCGTGGCTCCAGGCGCCGCCCTGCGAGGCCACCGGCACCGCCTTCCCGCGCGGCCTCGTGCAGGTCGGCCTGCAGTGGCGGCTGCGAGTCCAGCTCCTGCAGGAGGAGTGCTTCTGCCCAGCCTGTGGCGAGGTGATGGGCGTTTTCTGCGACCACGCCCTGGTCTGCGCCTGCCGCGGCGACCGGACCAAACGCCACAACGCCCTGCGCAACCACGCCTTCTTCGACGCCCTGGCCGCCGGCCACGCCGGGGCGGAGTTGGAGCGCCTGGGGCTGCTACCCGCGCGCCCCGCCGGGGAGGCCACCCCCGGGAGCGAGCAGGGCGGGTCCCAGGTGGACGACAACGGCCGCCGCCCTGCCGACGTCTACCTGCCGCGGTGGCGCAACGGCACGGCGGCCGCCTGGGACTTTGCCGCCGCGTCAGGGTTGCGCGCCGATCTCCTCGCCGCGCCGGCCGCTTCGTCAAGCGCAGCGACGGAGCGGTACGAGGAGTTCAAAAGGCAGCACCAGGACACCGCGCGGCTCTGCGCGGCACAGGGCTTCACTTTCCTCCCCATGGTGGTGGAAGCCCACGGCGGCGGGTGGGGCCGCGAGGCACGCAGGGCCTTCGGGGTCCTGGCCAAGCGGGTGGCTGACGCCACGGGGGAAGACGCCGCACTGGTTGCGGACCAACATGCCCAGCGACTTTCCGTCTCCCTGCACAGGGAGAACGCGCGGGCGGTGTTGCGGCGCCTTCAGACCCTGTCTGGAGGGGCGGGGGTGGCAGCGGCCCGCCTGGCCGCGGCCACGGCGGCCTCCACGGCAGACGCCGTGCGAGGTGCACCCTGCGCTGCCAAGCGCTCCCCGCCCACCCCCCCCGCCCTTGCTGGGCAGCGCGGGCGCCCCCCTCGCCCTTTCGCCGACGTCGCGCCGGCGACCCCTCCCACGCGCCGCCCGGCCTTTCCCCGGCGGGGCGGTGGATGGGCCCCGCAGAGGGCAATCCCCACCAAGCCGCATCGCGCCGGGTTCGGGCGGCCACCCCGCCCAGGTCGCCGCCGTAGGGTCCGCAGCCTCGTCGCGGGCGGCTCTTCTCTCCCGGCCCCTGGCCCGGCCTGTCTGCTTGCGGCCGTTGCTTTCTCTCCTCCTTGTCCTCCTCCCCCTCCTCCCCCTCCCTTCGCTTCTGCTCGTTGCTTCCCTCCCTTTCCTTTCCTCCTGTCTCCGCCTGGCCCGTCTTCTGCCTGCCCGCCCGCCCCGCCGGCCCTGGCCTCCCGCCTGGGCGTTCGTCGTCGTCTGCCTGCTTCCCCCCTCCTCGTCCCCTTCCGCCAGACAGCGCAGCCTGCCCGGAACCAGCGTGGCGGCATATAGGGGCCTGACGCGCTTTTGTTTCACAGCTTTCGACCCCTGACGCCGCTCCACCGCCCCCGCCAAAGGCCTTGAGACCAGCAAGCTTCTGGTCTGGTCCACCTCTTCGGGAGGCATCTCGGAGGCCTCTTGGGACATCCTGGAGGGCTGTCAGACAGTCGGGAGCTCATTCGGCGACTTCTAAAGCAATCTCGGGCCGTCATTGGCAGTTTTCGCTCGCGGTCTGGACGCGCCGCTTCTGGCGAGCTGGGGCCGTCTTCGGGCGATTCTTTCGATAGCCCCCAGCGCCCTGGCGGGGCCCCCGCGGCCCCCGGCCCCCCCGTGCGCTGTGGGAATCTCTCCAGATCGAGGCGGCGTTCGAAGCGGAAACCGCGAAGATCGCTCGATTCCAAGCGAAGGGGTCGGAAGACCCCCGTCTTGGCCGTCTGAAGGCCGCTTCTGGCCGTGCCGAAACGCTCCGGAGGCCCTCCAGGGCCGTCTGGAGTCTGGAGGCTGTCTCGGCGGCTGTGACGCCTCTCTGTGGCCGTTCTGGGGTTTCCTGGGGCCTCTTGGGGCGGCGTTGAGGATCGCCAGGAATATCTCACGGCGTCTGGGGGGACGTTTTTGAATGCCTCTTTGGGGCCTACTGGGGCTCCTTGGAAAGCTCTTGGGGTTTTCGTGGGGCCTCTTAGGGGCCTCTTGGGGGCCGCTGGGGGCCTCTTAGGGGCTTCCAGGGGCAGAGAGCTCGAAATGTCAGTTGGTGCTCCACCTCGAAGTTCTCTCTCGAGGCGTTCTGGGGGCGCTCTTGGGCTGCCTTGGAGGCCTCTTGGGTTGTCTCGGGTGCCTCTTGGGTCGTCTCGGCGTCTTCGCGGGGGCCTATTGGGGCGATATGTGGGCGTCCGGGGCCGTCTTGGAGCGTCGGGAAGCTGAACAAGCAGAAACGGGAAAATCTTTGAAAACCCTATGTCAAATCAATGGCTTGGGCTTCTTGGGGCCCTTTTGGGGGGGGATCTTGGAAACCCTTTTTTTGCACAAAGGCAAGGCGCGGTGCAGCAGCAGTAGTGTCAGTCTACTGCTGCACTGCTGCTGCCCATGAGCCAGATTGGCTGGCTCATGGGGCAACGTCGGGGTCTCCGACGAAGTGCCACGCAGCATCTAAGGCAATGAAGATTTGAAAAGCGCAAGTTCGCTGGCCCAACAGGCCAGAGGCGTGCTAAGATCTCCGGTAACTACTTAACAATATTTCTAGTTCGCGCGGGCGGGGCGGCCCCTGGGGCCCCCCGGCCCCTGGGCGGAAAATGCCCCGACCGCAGCCCGGGAAGATCTACTCAGAGATGGTTTTCCTCCTGGGCACGGCCTCTCAGGCCCTCCAGAGCGCGCCAAAGGGCCCCAAGAGTAAGAGGCCCCCAAGACTGCCCAAGAGGCCCCCGAGACGCCCAAAGGACGCTCCAAGACGCCGAAGATGATCCCAAGAGCCGCCAAGACGCTCCGAGTGGCCTCCAAGAGGCCTCACAAGAGCGCCCCGACAGGCCAAAATCATGAATTTTACAATGGTTTTGCAAGGATGTTGGCCTTGTCGCATTTTCGGCTTTCCGATGCTCCAAGACGGCCCAAGAGGCCCCCAAGAGCGCGCGAAGACGGCTCAAGAGGCCCCCGAGAAGGCCCCCAGAGAGCCCAAACGGGCCCCGAGACGGCCCAAGAGACGCCCAAGACGGCCCAAGAGAGCCCCATGACGGCCCGAAGGGGGGCCCAAGATGGGGACCACGAACCGAAACCTCAAGTCTTCCGCCCCAAGGGGGCCCCAGGAGGCCCCGAGAGGCCCCCAAGATGGCCCGAGCTGCCGCCAAGAGGCCCCCAAGACCCTAGGAGGCTCCAAGGAGGCTCGAAAGAGGCCCTACAAGGCTTCAAAAATGTTTCCCAGGCGCCCCCGAACGGTCTCTCAACAGACCCCAGGGCCCCCCGAAGACGCATCTGGACGACGGCCCTGTTTGGCCCCAAGAGCGCTGCAAGATGCCATCGAGAGGCTTCTTCCTCCGCCCTTTTTCTCTTCCCCCCCCCTCCTCATATTCATCTTCATCCCCCTCCGTTCCGTCTCATCCTCTTCTCCCCCTCCCCCCCCCTCTCCATCCTCATCTTCCTACTTCCAGCGGCGCCGAAATGGCCCCGAGCCCGCGCCGAAGCAGCGGCGATCATGCAATGCGGGCCGGCGGAGTGAGCGAAGCGGTTGAATAATTTATAAGACCACCAGCCCTTTGGCCGAGGTGGTCTAGAGCGCTTCCGATTCCAACCTCCCTGATATACCCCCCCCCCTCCTATTGCAGAAGCTGCATGTTGTTCCCTCCTGGGACCTCGCCGCGCCCAAAGATCGCGCGACGCCGGCCACGCAATCCCCAGCTGCGCCGGCCGATCAATCGTCCGCGCCGCGAACCCATGGCGGAGGAGCCCCCCTGATTATCGCATCGGTCGAAGCACTCTCTTCGAAAAGCGCGGATACCTCTGCTGCCAATTTCCCGGAAAGATCTGCTCCAGAGGTCAGACCAACTTTGCGTGAATTCCGCAAGAGAATACCAACCGCCGCTGAGTAGATAAACCTGTCGGGATTGTCGGCGGCAACCTCAACGCGCTCTTGAAAATAATGCTTGCGGTCGGGTATGCTCATTATCTTGGTCGTTGCGCGAACTGGCGTGGATGGCGCCTCTTGCGGGCACGGCGACACCGTCCAACCATGACCGTACATTATGTGGTATAGCGCTACACTCAAAACATTGTAATCCGTGATGCCCACATACTTAAAATCACGCATCAATATATCAACGGCCAACGAATGGTTCATGGAAGAGAGCACGGGCTCGTTACAAATATGGCCAAGCAACATCTGCATCTGGCAACCTTGCACCCCTGGGAACATGAGGCACCGTGTGAAATTATCCTTCCAATACAACTTCAAGCCTTGAAGTTCGAAAGACGGCGGCGCCTGCTCTGTATACTTCTGCTCCCACCACGTTTCAAAATGTTTCCACCTCAGTGCTCCAAAATGGCCGCCGCCAAATTTGAATGCGCTCAGCGCGCGCCTAAAAGGGCGCCGCGAGACGATAACGCCCATCGGTGCGTATTTCCTAAACCGTGGATCGTGATTCCAGATAGATGTTTTTCCATCGAACGCTGCGGATACTGCCTGGTCGCAGTCCACCAGAACTGCTCTATCCTTCTTCAACAGCATGAAGGGACCGCACCGAACCGAGAACCGAGAACCGTGACCGAGCCGGACCGAACCGGTCCAAAACCAGGAACGTAGAAAACCGAACCGGACCGAACCGAATTCATTCAGAACCGAACCGGCGAGGACCGAACCGAACCACGGAACCGAACCGGAACCGGGCGGCCCCTGAACCGAACCGACGGGAACCGAACCGAACCCCTTTCCCCTCAAGTCCGGACCCCAAGACCCCGATGACCCCCAGGACTCCGGGACCCCGATGACCCCAGAACCTCCCGAAGATTCCCGCGGCCCCTCCTCCTCTTCCTCCTTCTCCTCCTCCTCCTCCTCCTCCGCTTCCTCCTCCTCCTCCTCCTCCTCCTCCTCCTCCTCCTTTCCCCTCCCCCTCCTCCTCCTCCTCCTCCCCACCCCCATCCCCTCTCCTCCCCCATCCTCCTCCTTCCTCCTCCTCCTCCTCCCCCCTCCCCCCTCCGCCCCCCCCCTCCTCCCCAGGGGTCCTGGCAAGGCCCCGGGGCCCCAGCAGGGCCCAGGACCCCGGGGCCCCCAGACCGTGGGACCCCGGGACCCAAGGACCCCCGGGACCCCGTTGGAGTCCGCCGAATCCAGCACCTGGCTGGCGGGCGCGCGCAACGACGACGACGACGACGACGACGACGACGACGACGACGACGACGACGACGACGACGACGTCCGCTCAAAATCGGTCCCAGAACCTTTCCTCTTGGAATCTATTCCAGCCTGGTGTCAGCAGGTGTGCCCTGTCGGGCCCCCGAAGCCCCCGCGGGGGGCAAAAGCAGGAAAACCAAACAAAAAACACCTTCGGACCGACGACGACCGACGACGGCGGCGGCGTCGGCGGGCGCGGGCGTCGGCAAGCGTCCGTCGTCGTCGTCGTCGTCGCCGTCGTCGTCGGGGGGCCGCGGGGGAGCCCCGGGGGGGCCCCTGGCGACCCTCCTGGCAGCCCCCCTGGCGACCCCCCTGGCGACCCGCGACGGCGACGGCGACGGCGGCGGCGACGGTGGCGGCGGCGGCGGCGGCGACAGCGACAGCGACTTCGACCCCCCTCGCAACCCCCCTGGCGGGTGCAACCCCCCTGGCGGGTGCAACCCCCCTGGCGGGTGCACCCCCCTGGCGGGTGCACCCCCCTGGCGGGTGCACCCCCCTGGCGGGTGCAACCCCCCTGGCGGGTGCAACCCCCCTGGCGGGTGCAACCCCCCTGCGGGTGCAACCCCCCTGGCGGGTGCAACCCCCCTGGCGGGTGCAACCCCCCTGGCGGGCGCACCCCCCTGGCGGGCGCACCCCCCTGGCGGGCGCAACCCCCTGGCGGGGCAACCCCCATGGCGGGTGCGACCCCCCTGGCGGGTGCAACCCCCCTGGCGGGTGCGACCCCCCTGGCGGGTGCAACCCCCCTGGCGGGCGCAACCCCCCTGGCGGGCGCAACCCCCCTGGCGGGTGCAACCCCCCTGGCGGGCGCAACCCCCCTGGCGGGCGCGACCCCCTCTGGCGGGTGCAACCCCCTCTGGCGGGTGCAACCCCCCTGGCGGGTGCAACCCCCTTGGCGGGTGCAACCCCCCTGGCGGGCGCAACCCCCCTGGCGAGTGCAACCCCCCTGGCGGGCGCAACCCCCCTGCGGGTGCATCCCCCCTGGCGGGACGCGACCTCCCCTGGCGTGCGTAACCCCACCCTGGCGGGCGCACCCCACTCTGCAGGAAATATACGCGACCCCCTGGCGGGCGCAACCCCCTGGCGGGTGCAACCCCCCTGGCGGGTGCAACCCCCTTGGCGGGCGCAACCCCCCTGGCGGGTGCAACCCCCCTGGCGGGTGCAACCCCCCTGGCGGGTGCAACCCCCCTGGCGGGCGCAACCCCCCTGGCGGGTGCAACCCCCCTGGCGGGTGCAACCCCCCTGGCGGGCGCGACCCCCCTGGCGGGTGCAACCCCCCTGGCGGGTGCAACCCCCCTGGCGGGTGCAACCCCCCTCGCGGGCGCGACCCCCCTCGGGGCTGCGACCCCCCTCGGGGCTGCGACCCCCCTCGGGGCTGCGACCCCCGTCGGGGCACGTCGCTGGAGGGCCTCGCGCCTCCACGCCTCCACGTTTCTCCTCCTGCTCCTCCTCCTCCTTCTCCTCCTCGTCGTCCTCCTCCGCCCTCCTCCGCCTCCGCCTCCGCCTCCTCCTCCTCCTCCTCCTCCTCCTCCTCCTCCTCCTCCTCCTCCTCCACTTTTTTCAAACTGGGTCGTCGCTTACGCAGACGGGGCGCCCAACGTCGCACCTGACCAGTCGGGCCGAACCGAACCGGAGCGGCCACTCGAACCGAACCGAACCGGTCGGACCCAACCGCGCGAAAACCGGAACCGAACCGAACCAGCGGCAGGCCCAAGCCGAACCGGCCGAAACCGGACCGATTCCAAACCGAACCGGCCAAGCAAAACCGACCCGGCTGCAGAACCGGACCGAACCGAACCGAGCCGATCCCTTCATGCAAAAGGCAATTTGCTAAATTTACCAAGTGATATTCATGATGAAATTTGTCGCAATCTGGTCGATTCGATTTGAATTCGGACATGGTCCCGTTGCCAGCACATGACCCGAAAAGGCGTTCGCAATGAGTAAACAAAACTGTGATGTACAACTGTTCTCCACATTTAGGCACGTGTACTAATTTAAATCTGTCGTCATGCGCCGATGGCCTTGCCGCGCGAAGAAAGGCAAGCGCAATGAGGGCTGACTTTGCATCAATGGTCCAAGTGAGACAGATGTCGTACCGGATTGGACATTTGGTCATGTCGTGTCGTGGCCCGACCTCTCCCCTGTCCTCCCCTTCAGCAGGGCTCAAGACAAAATGGCTTGAAACCGAACGGCCTTGAGCCAAAATGGCTTGAGCCACAATGGTTACGGAGGTGATCTTGGAAACCCCTTGGGTCGTGTTGGAAGCCTTGTGGGCCGTCTGGAGGACCTCTTGGGCACGTTAGAACGATATTTCGGTGACTGCAATCCTCTTGGAGGCCTCTCGCGGCCCTTTTCATCTGTGTTGGGGCTGTCTTGGGCCGTCTGGCGGCGTCCCTGGGCCGTTTCGGCGCCCTCGTGGGGGCCTGTTGGGACGAAATATGGATGTCCAGGAACGTTTTGCAGCGTCGGGACGCTGAACAGGCAGAAACGCTGAAATTCACCAAAAACCAAAAGCTGCTTGGGGCCCTTTTGAAGTGTTCTAGGGGACCCCTTGGGCCGTGTTGGAAGCCCTGCGGGCCATCTGGAGGCCATTTTGGGCGTGTTCCAACGAGATGTCCGCGTTTCGGAGCCTCTTGGAGGCCTCTCGCGGCCCTTTTCACGTGTTGGGGATTCCTTGGGCCGTCTGGGGGCGGCCCTGGGCCGTCTCGGCGCCTTCGTGGAAGCCTGTTTGGACAATGTTTGGGGTGTCCTGGACCGTCGTGGAGCGTCGGGAAGCTGGACAAGCAGAAACGCTAAAATGCACCAAAAGCCTATGTAAACCCAATAAGCTTGGCCTCCTGGGGCTCTCTTGGGGGTGCTATTGGGGACTCCTTGGGCCGTGTCGGAGGCCTTGTGGGCCATCCGGAGGCCATCTTGGGCGTGCTAGACGATATTTCCGCGACTGTACAGCCATCGGCCTTACCTAAGGAACGAGAAATAAGGAACGACGCCCTTTTGTTTTCCAAGGAACAATGCATAAGGAATGATAAATGATGAAAAAAACGCATACGGAACGATGGATAACGCATGCAAGCCTAGGGAACGACCGAGCCCCTTTTGTAAAGCAAGTGTTCCTTACTCGAGCCGCTCACTGTAGGCCTCTTCGAGGCCTCTCACGACCATGCTCATCTGTGTTGAGGCTGTCCTGGACCGCCTGGGGGCGTCCCTGGCGGCTGGGTACACCCATGGAGGGTCGAGGGCCCCCCTCCCGGGCCCCCCGCCTCGTGGCCAGGGATATTCCCTTTTCTATATTTTTATAATCCTGGGGGGTGGACCCCCCCCCCCCCGAAATAGGATCCTCCTCAACCGGGACTTCCGGAAACGGGACCCCTCACGAGGATCGCAGCCTCCGAGCGCGAAAATTAGCGCTCTCCGTCCAAAGAGGAAGGTGAGAGGACACGCGAGGCTCCTTGGACCTCCCGAGAGGCTTTCTCGAGGCTCCTACGAAGGCCCAAGAGGGTCCCAAGAGCCTTCCAGAGTCCTCCGAAGAAGCTCCCAAGAGATGAAAATCAGTGATTTCCTATGGTTTTTCTAAGTTTATTGCTTCTTTGCATGTTCACTGTTCCGACGTGCCAAGACGGCCGAAGACGCCCACAAGACCGATGCCAGACCGCTCACGAGGCCTCCAAGCGAGTCCGAAACCGGCCCAAGACAGCCCCGACACGGCCCAAGGGGTGCCCCAGACGGCCCCAGAGAGCCCCAAGACGGCCTTCAGAAAGGGCACCCCTCACGAGGATCGTAGCCTTCCAGCGCGAAACTGAGCGATCTTCGTCCGAAGAGGCACCTACGAGGGTACGCGAGGGTCCTCGGGTTGCCTTAAAAGCTTCTTAAAGGTTCCCCCGACGGCTTGAGAAGGCCCCACGAACCTCGCAGAGTTCTCTGAAGGAGGCCCCAAGAGATCAAAATCATTAATTTCCTATGGCTTTCCTAAGATTTTGGCTTCGTTGGTTTAGAGAGCCCGCTCTGTTCTCAACCCCCCTTCTTCCCCTTCGGGGAGGGGTTTACCCCTCCCCCTACCCCCTCCCCCTGGGCCTGGAGAGGGCGCCCCGCGGGTCGTTGGAGGGGTCTTTTTCGACTCCTGGGCAGGCTGGCTGGGCAGGCGAGCTAAAATTCATACCATCCTCACGAGGATTCTGCCGCCGACGGGGGAGGCTGCGAATCAGTGCTCGCCCAGACGGTGCTCGATCGCGATCACCGAAAGTTGGCCCAAGTTACCTCCCAGACCCCTCCCAAAGAGCCCCAAGAGGCCCCAAGAGGCCTCCAAGAGGCCCCCAAGATGCCCCCAAGAGGCCCCCAAGAGGCCCCAAGAGGCTCTCCCGAGGCACCCAAGACGCTCCTGGAAGCCCCTGGGGCCGCCAAGAGGCCCCCAAGACGCCCCAAACGGCCTCCAAGAGGCTCCCAAGAGGCCCGAAGAGGCTCCCCCAAGGCACCCAAGACGCTCCTAGAAGCCCCGGGGCCGCCAAGAGGCCCCCAAGACGCCCCAAAAGGCCTCCAAGAGGCTCCCAAAA